TATATATATATATATATATATATATATATATAATGAAAACATTATTTGAATGCACTTTAACTAATGATATTTGCTAATAATATAGATTGTTGTATTTAAATGGGTATATGTGTGTGTGTGTGTATATATATATATATATATATATATATATATATATATAAAATGAAAACTTCACACTTCAACTAATATTTGCTAATAACTTAACGAAAGCACAAAAAGCGTTTCGCTTGATTTGTCCAAATGCTGAAGTCTGTTTAATCAGCCATTAGCCTGAAGCGCGCGCAGCTGAAGATAATGAGTGTGTGATGTCAGCACCCACACTAACACAATTAATGCAAATTCCTTAAGACTAGATGAGGATCAGTGATTAGCGCCTTTACTTGAAACAATATCTCTTCAAGCTTACTTTGCTTAATTTCAATACAATGCAGCTTTATTCAGCCTTAATGTGCAATTAAGTTCGTTTGATAAGTTAGTTGTGGGCGAGTAAGAAAGAGGAGGACACTCAGATATACCAGACCTGAACCCTATAGAGAATCTATGGGGTATTGTCAAGAGGAAAATGAGAAACAAGAGACCAAAAAATGTAGATGAGCTGAAGGCCACTGTCAAAGAAACCTGGGCTTCCATACCACCTCAGCAGTGCCACAAACTGATCACCTCCATGCCACGCTGAATTGAGGCAGTAATTAAAGCAAAAGGAGCCCCTACCAAGTATTGAGTACATGTACAGTAAATTAACATACTTTCCAGAAGGCCAACAATTCACTAAAAATGTTTTTTTATTGGTCTTATGAAGTATTCTAATTTGTTGAGATAGTGAATTGGTGGGTTTTTGTTAAATGTGAGCCAAAATCATCGCAATTAAAAGAACCAAAGACTTAAACTACTTCAGTCTGTGTGCATTGAATTTATTTAATACACGAGTTTCACAATTTGAGTTGAATTACTGAAATAAATGAACTTTTCCATGACATTCTAATTTATTGAGATGCACCTGTATATTAAAGAAAATAAAAAATACATGAACCATGTGCTTTTTGTTTACAATACAAAAATGAAATAATGTTTCGGTTTCAAATATGTACAGAGTCTGAATAGGCCTACAGATCCATAAATAATCCATTTATATCTATAAATACAAAAAAAAAATATATATATGAACAATAGTTTGTTCATGACTTCTGAGAAACCCAGCCTTGATTGATTGGCTCCCCGGTGACTTCTGATTGGGCTCTGTTACGCATTGAGTTTGATTCATTTGAGCGAATCGGTTCACTCTGGCGGTTCATTTCAATAAACGGATTGAAAAACGATTCGCCGGTTTGTAAAAGTAAACTTCGCTAACTGTTTTCGCCATAATTTTCGCCAAACATTCCACCCAGTAGAGTCACTAGGGATTCTGGGCCTATTGCACATAATTTGCTATGTGGGGCCCCCTCAAAATCACGTTCAGTTAAAGTATGTGTGTATAGTCTATAGGCTACTAATTATGTGCCACTGTAAACCTAGAACAACTAGAATTTAAATAAGTGTTGACAGCGTCATTGGTTGTAATATGTGAAAGTTGTAGTTTGTCGCTTTTCTGATAATGTAGGCTATATGCAGAGTTTGGTGGAGAGATTCACAAACGCTTGCGAATCTGTTCAAACGAGTCGTTCAAAAGAATCGTTTCGCTCGCGAATCAAACACCTCTACTCTCTCTCTCTCTCTCTCTCTCTCGCCCTCCTGCTTTCAGTTCAGTCATGAGTTTCCAGTAAGAAGAGGCGTGTGATGTGAAATGAACATCGTTGTACTTTTCTACATCATCTTGAAGGATTCATTTTACCATAACCGTCCGATTTAAACTCTATTGATGGATTTCCACTCTAAACTTTTTGTCAAGTTCGGTCTATTATTTATAAGAACTGGATAAGAAAACCTGCGCACGTTACTTCTCTTATGGGAACGGACTTTTAGTGAGGTAAGCAAGTTTCCCCAAACCTTTTCTTTCCAGAAGATGTAACTTAGACATTTGAAACTTTCACACAAGGTATTTTTTGGTCTGTAGTGTATCTATAAGAGAAGCTGAACCAGTAGAACCAGCTTGAGTTTCGCGCAGCTGGAAAGTCTCCTCTGCTTTCTGGTTCCTCACAGAAAAACACCAGGAACCAGCAGAAATGGCAGGAATAAACAGTTCAAACATGAAAACGCTGGAGGATTTGACTCTGGACTCTGGCTATGGAGCAGGGGACTCGTGTAAGTCCTTAAGCCTGTCGTCCTCCAAGTCAAACTCGCAGGCGTTCATGAACACCCCTCACCGTGGGAACTGGTGGTACTACTCCGGCTCCATGAACAGCAGGAACAACAGTTGGGATACAGTCAACACGGTGCTTCCAGAGGATCCAGAGGACATTTTCTCCAAGTGCCCACGCTTACCGGAGCTGGAGGAGTTCCCGTGGATGGAGGAGGACGTGGGGAGGGTCGTGCGTAAAGGCGCGGGGAAGGGCGCCTCGCTCTCCGCGGAGGCTGTGCGCAGACTGGCCGCCCTGATGCGCAGGGCGCTGATCCGCATCTCGAGAGAGGCGCAGCGGCTCAGTGTCATGCACTGCAGGTGCACCAGGTTCGAGGTCCAGAGCGCGATCCGTCTGGTGCTCAGCTGGGCGCTGGCGGATCACTGCGTCTCGGCCACTGTGAAGGCCATATCTATGTACAACATGAGCGCTGGAGAGCTCTTGCGCAAGGGGAAGTCAGCCCGGTGCGGGCTCGTGTTCTCCGTTGGACGGTTTTTCCGCTGGATGGTGGACACTCGGATCGCGGTGCGCATCCATGAGTACGCGGCCATCTGCCTGACCGCGTGTATGGAGGCTCTTGTGGAGGAGGTGGGCGTGCGCGTGCTGATGGCGGAGAAGGAAGGCGCGACGCCCGGCTGCGTCCTGACAGCAGAGGCGCTGGAAGGGGTCGTCAATAATGATGCCGAGCTTTGGGGGCTGCTGCAACACTATGAGCATCTCATCTGTGGGAAGAACGCCAATGGTAGGTATTTCACTGTTGTTGTTGCTTAAACTGTTTCACTCATCAGTTCCTTGTGGCCTAGTGGTTAGATTTGGCTGAAGGGTAGTTGAAACCACACAAGGGTTGATCCCTCACCATTGTGCACTTAGGCATGCCACCAAGCTGCTTCAAGGGGAGTATATATGTACTTAAATCACTTTGGAGAGAAGTGTCATTTTCTGCTAGTTGTATTTGGACCATGCTTATTGATAACTATACAATTGAAACAGTAATGAAAAAGAAGAAACGGAAACACATTTTTATTTATAATAAAATTTATTTAAAACTATATTTAAAATAAATTTTATTTTATTTCAGCTATTTGTTTTTGTTTAAGAAATACTAAAATAACTAAATAGAAAATATACATAAAAAAACTATAATTAAAATAACCTAAACAAAATTACTAAAGCTTAAATGAAAACAGAACATATCTAAAAATTTTATTGAATTCAGAATATTACCAACATTTATAATAGTGTACTAAAACAGATTATTTTATTTAAGCTAGTTGGCAAGGTAACATTTCTCATTTAAATTTAGTTTAAGCATTAAAATAACTAAAACTAAATAAATTAAAAAGTAAAACTATATAGACATATTTTAAAAACACTAATAAAATTGAAAAAAACTAAACAATATTACTAAAACTTTAAAAGTAAAATGAAAACCGAAAATATAAACATTAAATAGAATTCAAAATATTAACTAAAAATGATGGTAGCATATCAATGATATTAAAAGAGCTTTTTTATTTCAGCTAGCTAACTCCATATAATATGTCTAATTTTAATTTTGTTTAAGTTGACATATTAAAGTAGCAAAACTAAATAAACGGACTGAAAAGTAAAACCATATGGGGGAAAAAACGAATAAAGGTAAAAACAAAAAAATTACTTAAGTTAAAATTAAAACAGAAAATTCAGAATACCTACAGAAAAAACTGAATTCAGAATAAGAAGAAAAACTATAATATTATATCAGTGATAATAAAATAACACTGATTTGGACACTTAAAAATGTATGAATATCATTAAAATATCTACCTTTACCTAAGAATCTAAGTTCATTATTTTAAAGAGAGATAATCCAAATCAAAATATTTCATAATAATGACTTTAATTGGGTTTAAGAGTATACAATGATACATTAACTGGTTAAGTGTTTATAAATGTTAGTGGAACATTAGTATTTATTACTGTTAATGTGACGAACTACACCTGTGGTTACTCTCTGTGTGCGTGAGCTTGAGGGGAAATGACTTCATACATCCTTATCCTCATAAAATTCCCTGCCACACCACTTGATTATGACAAATTAGTAGCTTTGAAACAAGTTATGCATGATATTTTGGTCAAATACTGGCACAATGTTACAAAATTACAATTTGGTGTGAATGATCTGTACTAAAATACTGAATCTGCGATCTGTTGGTAGACCCACACGAATGTTGATAGCTTTCCTTATTAGTCGTCTTGGTGTTTGCTCTGAAAGATGAAAATGGAAATCAATTTCCAGAAATCACAGGTCAATCACGTCATTCTGCCTGTGACGGGTTATTACACGCTTCCTCTTCTCCAGCTGTGAGAATTACCCCGCGCTGCCAACTTCTGCATCATCTAGGTTGCATTTTCATTTTGATTTGTCTGTGGTTAACCAGCATCTAGCATGAGGTTTTCACAAACATTCACAAGCGCAAACCGAACTTAACTGATTAACCAGGCAAAGAGAACAAACAATATCTATAAAAACAGCATGCGGTTCTGATGTAGTGCTGTCCTGCTTTAGTCACCGTTACTCATCATTTCTGTTTGCTCTGTCATAAAGACATTCAGGACAAACGTTTTGATTACTGTCTTATGTTGGAGGCTGACATGAGAGTTTTGATATGCATATAACATATACAAGATTTTTCACTTATTTGATGACCCATTAAAGGAAAATCGTAAATTTGATTGCTTAGAAAAGTGTATTTCTTCAACAAACCTCACAATTTGAGGTATTTGTAGCGATGGTGCAGGACAAGGTGAATGAAAGCCATGTATAGCTAATAATAATAGTAGGTATTGTTTAAATATTTGCTGTACTGTATATAAAATATGATAGTTTAAGGTGAAACGGGTATTATGGTTGACTAAAACAAACAATAAATTTAATTTAATAAGTTACTTGAAATTAAATAAGTTTATATATTTCAGGTAGTTGCAAAGGCAGCATTTCTCATTTTAATTTACTAAATGTACTAAAATAACTACAGCTAAAACTGAAATTAAAATGAATAAAATCTATATAGACATTTATACAAGTAACTATAAAACTAAAAATGAAATTGTTAAAATTCAAAATATTAATAAATTAATAAATACAACTTTCAGTTGTACTTAACACTCTGGTGAATTTTGAATCAGTTCTCAAACATTTCTATATACAATTTTGAGTTGAAGCACTGACATGTTCCTACAGTGTAGCCTAGGGTTCGTTTACACGATACCATTTTCAACTAAAATAGAAAACTTGTTATGCGCTTTGGTTGTTCATTTACACGACAACAGCGTTTTTGGGGGCCTGAAAATGCAAGCTTTTGAAAACAATACCATTATCGTCTCCGTATAAACTACAAACACAGGAATTTGTGCAAATGGTGAAGTCATGCGCATGTGTATTATGTGTTTAGTCTATAGGTTTGGCCGCGTAGTGTTTCTGTACAAAGTGACATCGCCAACTACTGGCCTGGCATGAATATTACAGCAGTTTTAGCCGTATCTGTGTGAATGGGGATCGTTTTGATAATGTGGTCGTCTGTATGTAAAACGTTTCAAAAACACAAAGGAAAAACGTTTCCGTTTTTAGTACATTGAGATGCTAATTGATTTCAGCTAGGCTACAGAATGAATAAGTGCATTAAACATTGCTTCGAGTCCAGCTACTCACATTAAAAATACTTCCATGACAATACTGAGGCAGTGGAAAGACTTTATTGATTAAAATCAGAGGAGTGTGGGTACAATATTTAGGCTATGCTAACAAAAAGCTATTTTTGGCATGGGTAGTCAGGATCTCAGCTCTGCATAATCCTTACACAGCTCACTTTCTCTGGGATGCCATGCAGGCATCAAATTAGGTCGGTCCATAAAGACGACTCAGTGGATCAATGTGCTTTCAGGATGGTCGTGTTAACAAAGTGCTGCGCGTTCACTTCACAAAACCCTCGCGTGCCATTACTGTTGATGAATGGGCATCTGATCCACTGCGTTTCCTCTATCAAGTGCAGGAGATTGAATCTAAAATGCCTTAAATGTGGCTCGTTTATGATTTCAGTCGTGACTCAGTGGCCTTTCAGAATGTACTTGATTACACAAAGCATCTCACAACCAGATTATTCATGACCTGCTTTTGTTGGCTGCTATTATTGTGCTTGAGAATGCCTTTTAAACAGCCTTGATTCCCATAGACCAGTACACTTGTCTTATAAGTTTGCATGTTTTATTTTTTTAAACCTCTGACTTTGAAGTTTAAAGTCAACACAAAATGGCATCCGGAACCATTTTACTTCGATAATATGATGTCTTCTTTTGTCTGAGTAAAGCAGAATATTGGCAACACTTAGCATGGTGTCTAAATGTAATAACTTGCCCCACCTCTGAAACAAATTTCCTTTTCTGCTTACATCATCAAGTCCTTTAGTTTTTCAGCCCCACCCCTGCAGCTACCTGTCATATAGAGACTCTTTCACAGTCAAATTTGTTCCCACTAGATGAAATTAAGTCCTGTCTTACAATTTAAGTCATTTAACAACTAGTTCCAAAGTAAATGACTTTAAGGAAGTAAATAGAGTTGACTTCATGTTGACTTTATTGTAACTGATGGTAGGAGTACCTTTACTCACAAGTAATTCATAGTCTGTTTGCTACAAAAGTTCTTCTCTATCATCTGCCAACCAGCCCCACATCTGGAAGTCTTTAAGACTTGCTTCTCTTTGCCAACTCAAGTCACTCCCACTTTCTCCAACACACACTCCATTCCCCTCTCTGCCTCTTTTTTATTTACTTTAGTCCTTCTTTCCTGGATCCGGTTCTGTGAACGCTTTTAATAAGGCGCCCACTGTACCAACGTGCCATTTAAAATCCAATGAACACAAAGCACTACATGCATAGTTTTCTCTAGTTGCTATTGACATTCACATTGCATTTGAGTGTGCAAGTGATTCATGGAGAAAACATCTTCATACTTGATACCTGAACAAGTGCTTTCTCAAACTCGCTGCTGAGAACATCTGTGAACCCGAGCCAGAGCAGGACGTGAACTTTGTCCCTTGTCATTTGCGGCAGACTCTGGACAGTACTAGGATTTTTGGCACAGCTTTCGAACATTTGCTACCCTGATGGAAACATCTTTTTTGCAGAAGTAGTCTGCAGGCCAGTGCACTTGTGTCTTGTGGAGGTTATTTTTATGCTTTTAGTTGATTTAGGATGGCAGTAACAGGGAAAACACCATCATGCATGGTCAGTGGCACTGTTTATGCATGCTTCCAGCCAAAACCAAAGGCCCAGCTGTACGAGAACCTCAGACTTCTCTGAGCTAGCGGCTAAAAACAGCACAAGTTTTATGATGCTTAAAAAACATTTCAAGGGCTACATTTCAAGAGAGCTCCTTAAAACAAGATAACTTCATTATCTAGTCACTAGCATTAGCTCAAACTTGTGAGCTCATGGAACCTCACACAGTAAGTGACTGAAAGGAAACACCCTACATAGGCAGCATCTCTAAGTGTGAAACAAATATAGCACTCTTCAGTGTTGGGGGTAACGCATTACAAGTAACGCAAGTTATGTAATCAGATTACTTCTTCAAGTAACTAATAAAGTAACACATTACTTTTAATTTACAACAAAATATCTGAGTTACTTTTTCAAATAAATAATGCAAGTTACTTTGTTTTCCCATTTATTCACAGACAGCTCTCCTGTCCCTGTGCTGAGAGA